CTCTATTTGCATTATTAGTCAATGCTTATAATGCACAGAATAGAAATGCTTATAATGCGTAAAATAGAAATGCTTGTATGTGCATAGAATACTAAATGCTTACGTTTCTGCTTAAAATGTTTACTTTGAAAATTCTTTTTATTTAAATTTTCAGCAAAGCTGCTAGCACAGAAACGCTATGAATCACTTTATCCCGTCTGTATATGCGGCCTCTTGCTGCAATGCATATTGCTGAATGTGTTCTGCATAAACAGTATAATCAGCGAAACTATTGTTAATGCTTAATTGCTAACTGGATCTTTGCATGTTTGCAGAATTTTTTGGCAATGCCACTGCCAGTTGCTCAAAAGAAAAAACTCCCCACAAAGAACCCACTTGTGAGTAAATTATGCTTGCAATGCTCCATTTGTCAGTGGCAGACCTATCATTAATAGTACAAACTTCTAAAAGTAACTAAGATGCAACAATAAAACCACAACAGATATTAAATACGTACTAAGTAACTTGTGATAAAATTTCAGATAATGCTTTGAAGTGTATTGCTAATAAACCATTTTTACAGGGGTGTGATGAGTTCCATCTGTAGAGTGATTTAAGTGTCTTCATCTTAATAGTTCTTTTGCCTGTAGCAGTGTTATATGGTCAGGATTAATGATGAGGTACAGTATCGTTGTCAGTCTCAACACATTTTTCTTGATATATTTTCATTAGATTAATGACCTCATTGTAGGATAGACATAACTTGTCTATAAAGCAATCGTTATGTTTGTATATAGACAGATTGATAAAGCTCTCCTCCCTTTGTGCTTGTTCTCCTTCTTTCTCTGTATTTCCTGTGTTCATCATCTTGCAAGTTGAAGACCTGGGAACCGGAATAAGCTGGTGCTGTGCACGCTAACTTTCACTGTGGGCACTCTTCTCAAGTACTAAAGTTTTCCTCTCTGCATTCGGTGGAGAGTAAGGTTTTGAGGTCAGCTCGTGCTGCTTCCAAATACCCTTGTCTGAATTTCCTATCTGGGGAACTGAGCCGAGTGTCTGAACTACGAGGATGCTCATAAAGTCTCTAAAAGGGAACCTGCTGAGTGAGTTTTCATCAAGTGGAGATTTCCTTAAGCTTGTTGAGAGCTGGAGGCTTCACTCTGAATAGATTTAGCTGAGGTTAAACAGTTTATATTTTCTTATCTTTTTGGTAAAGGTATTTTCATTTTGGTAAAAGCTCTTCCTCCAAAGAGGCAAAGCTATTCAAATCTTGAAACACTTAACATTTAACCTCTCTGACTATTTGCAGAATAGTTTGACTTCTGGTCTCTAGAGTATCTTCTGATGACCTGAACATCTATAACTTTTGCTGTTCTGGAATGTAGCGAATAGTGCTAGTTGTTTGCTGTGAACCAGCAGGAGTTAACATAAAACACTATCATCAGAGGGTTGAAACAGGATACCAAAATATTCTACTGCCGGTTTAAAACTGGAACTACTCTCTTTTTCTAAAATCTGTGCAGCAAAACCAGATATTTATAATAATGTAAAAATAGGTAGAAGTAGTGCAGTTTGTGTTTAGATGAGTGCTTTAGGAACTGCTGCTGCAAAATGTGCTTTTTCTTGCTTTGATAATAAAAGATCTTCTAGGAAAACTGAATAAAAGTAGTTCAGATCAGGAGGGAATATTTGACGACTCTTCTTCCCTATTCCTCTGTCAATGAGTTGCATGTTTCATGGTTTAGAGCAGACTGTGGAGAGGAGGAAGGTCGGTGCTCATCATGTAACTGGACTTCTTGGCAGCCTTCCTGTGTCAGTGGTTTCTGTTCAGTTTAAATATTTGTAACTTGCCTTTGCTGTGGAGATTATCTTCTGTGTGGGTTTTAAGTTTCTGCCCCAGTGTCTTAAGACAACCACTTTTTGCCATTAGAAAACGTGTGGGTTTGTTTAAAAAAAAAAAAAAAAAAAAAAAAGCATCAGTTTAGTCATAGACACCTCACTGGCTACAAGTCACATTTGGAAGGTCAAGGGTGCTGATCTGGAGTGAAGCGTAGGAGCCTCCTTGGAATTGGGTTTATCTTCAGAATGGTTGTGTAAAGGTTTGGGGTTGGCATGGGGTTTTTTGCTTGCAAATAGCATTTTTGCACATGCTGATCGTTTTGGAGATACTTTGTACTGAGGGAATTCTGAATAATACTGGCCTTACTTAAATTTTAGGCTGTTCTTAAAGCTTTTTGAAGTTTGCTTTGCTTCTCCTCAAAATAGCTAACTTGCTGTCATCATTCCTGTTTGTTCCTTCTTTGAAATCCTCCTTGCTATTAAGCTCGTGGTAGCGATGCTGCCCACCTTTGCGGAGGAGAGGAGGCACTGGGCTTGTTGATGTTTCACAGCAGTTTATTTAAAATAGGAGAATCGACTCCTACTCCTGCAGAGCAGAACTTGCATTGGAAAAAACAGGTAAACACAAAATCGAGTTTCTTTTAGCAACAGGAGCGGATGCATGAACTGGTGACAATTTAACCTGTTTGGGAAAAGAGGAGAATATTTTCCTGCCAGTTCTGACTTGCTGTCCCAGTGCATTATACGTGTTTGTATGAATACATATCTGTACATCATTTATTGACATGGGAGAGGTTGGTAGTTTACAGTCCATTAGATTCAGTCTCAGACCAGTGATCAAAGACCACACATCTATTGCAAATTATTCCCTTTCCCCTGAAGTGCTGGGGGGAGATGAAGGGAGTTGTGGCTTCTTTTTGCAGGAAGAGAACTGAATAAGAGAACTGCCTTTACCCTGCTTGTTTCATGTTAATAGCTGTTTTTTCATAAATGGAATTCTGCAAGAATTATTAGGTAAATCTTGGGATCCTGAAGATTTACACTGTGCAGCTTCTGTGAAAATGTCCGTTTCCTGAGGATGTTGAATGAATCTTTGCTGATTTAAATAGGGCTACACCAGATATTTGGTGTAAGTGTTTAGGTCTAATTTAACTCTCCTGCCTTACTGACAGGGAGTTAGGAAGACCTGATTTGCAGCAGCTCTGGGCTGGTGCCTGCCCAGCTCTTTTGGTATGGCCGACACCCTGGTTCCCTGCTGGCATGGGGGAAACTGCTTGCAGGCTCAGGCAGGGACTTTCCTACAGGCACCTGGTAAAAATCTGCAATCCAGAAGTGAAATTGTGTTCTTCCTTAAGTCTGGTAGGTTAATTTGTGTAAAATAAGATGCAAGAAGAGAAAAGAAAAAAAAATAGTTGGGTTTGGGAGGTGTCGCAGAGAAGTCAGGAAGCGAAGGTGTTTAGCTGAAGTTGGGCACATCTGCAGTCCGTGGTGGTAAAATTGATCTGTTCCCATAACCATGTCTCCACCAGAATCCCACAGCATTTTGATTAACTTGCATGGAAAGCTGCAAGCCAATAAATAGTCTACAATAAATGGAGCTGAAGAGTCAAAGATTAAAATATGTGTGCTGATTTCCTTGAGGATTTGTTCTGTAATTCAGCTCTTCTTAAAACAAACTGCCTGCTTGGCCTGGGAAAAAGGGCAGAGCATTGCTGAGCGTGATCCTTCTCCCAGTGAAATGGTATTTTGGGCTGAAGGAGACAGTAGTTTCCTCCCCAACTACACATCTTTTTATAATATATTTCAAAAAACAGAAGAGAATCCAGTACCAGGTTACCAATCTTGGGATGAGCTGCATGTGCCAAGTGATAATAGTGTGATAGGCACAAGGGTTTGCATGGGTGCAAATGTGATCCAGAAGCATCACATGCAGCCAGGTCTTGAGCTCAGCTAATCTGGGACGTTCAGAAGCGTTTAGGGAGGAGAGTTAGGAGAATTTATTGACAGCAGCTGCTTGTATACTGAAATAGTTTAAAGATGACATCGTTGCTGTAGGGGTATCACAGCATCCTTGAGCACAAGAGTCTTTACTCGATGGCTGCATGATGTTTAGTCTGTCCTGATAGCACTGAAGGTATTAAGCCCCAGAATCCCAGCCCAACAGCAGCTCCAAAAGCCCCATCTCACATTTTTTTTAATGTGAAAATCCAACTGGGAGTACTGCTGGAGGGCCTGCAGCTGAAGTTAATCCAATCAAACTAAGAGCCTGTAGAGGAACTAGAAACCATCGTGTAGCCGCAGACCAAAATCAGTCTGTACTTGTTAGGATCGAAGTTATTCCACTGTCAGTTATTTCCCTTGAAACACAGGAAGTATCTGTTGTCCGTGTCTTTTGTTTAACGATATTGCTAGACACTACGGTTGACTCTGGGGTTTTTCTGCATGAGACTGATCCCAAGCAGAAAGATTATGTTGTCAAGAGCAATAAGTTTGGGTTGCAGCTTTCTACTTTGTGGACTGCTCAGAGGTTGAAGAAATTTGAGTGCCGCTTCTTAAAGAATAGCAAGTATCCTGTTAGAATATTATTATTTGGTGTGTTGCAACAGGAAGAACAGCTAAAATCTGTCTTGAGAAGTGGAGCCAAAGGAGATCATTAGAGACTCCCTCTGGATTAATGTTGACTGTAAATCTGCATTTGGAGCTCGGCATTGTCTCTTTGTAAATATTTTCTTTCCTGACTATGAGAAACTGCAGTCAAGGCATCTTCAGTCCCCTAATTACCGAGGTGGAAGCAGGGAGGAATCTTCGTTACAAAGGCTAATGGAGAACAGAGTTCCGTAAGGAAGAAGGGTTTTGTATAATCAGGGATATTTGTGTAGATTCACGATTTGTGGGGTTTAAGAACTCTTTTTATTGTTCTGACTTAACTGGGACAGGACTCGTTATGGTTAGTGCCCAGCGAGGGAGGGTGTGATGGGAGGGACTGTGCAAACTTAATTGAGACGCTGCTCAATCTTTCATAGCAAACCAAGGATTTTGCATGTAGGCAAAGAGCCACCTTCTGCACATAAACTTTATCAAAAGCCTATTCTATCCGAATGGAAATGACGCAAGCCTCATCTCCTGAATCTATTGTGAATCTAAGGCGTTTGGAGCCTTTTTTTTTTTTTTTTTTTTTCTAGCCTGTGAGAATCAGCTCAGTGCAGCTGTGCCTCCAAGCTCCCTCTGAGGCTCCAGGTCCGGTGCGTGGGAGGTGCGTGGCCTCCTGCCCTGGGCACCCCCCGGGAGAGCTGTCGGAGTGCTGCCGGGTGGACTCGCTCTCTGCACATTGCAGGAAGAATCCATCCCCTCGTTGCAACCACCTCCTGAACCCCCTGAGGGCTGTCGCTTGGGAAAGCAAAACCCAAACCCGCTTCATCCTTGCAGAAGCAGAGTGATCCCTCTTCTAATTAGGAGAAGGTGGCAGGAGGCAGCAAAATCAGACTCTCTTGTGCTCCCACAAAAATGAGAAATAGGTATGTGACATCCACGAGCTAGCAGGGCAAGTCCTAGGCTTGATGTCCAGAGACAGACCAGCAGAAAAAATATTGACACTTTGGGAACTGCTTGTTCACTTCCACTTTTTATGTTTCAGGATATCCAGTTTAAGTCGAACATTTTTTTCCCTTTTTTATCTTGAAAGGATGATACTCTCTTCTTTTTCAGGATTGAATTACTGTGTCTTAAGGTTGAGCTGGAGAAGGGAGACTTGCTTTGGAAGCGAGAGTTTAATTGGTCGTTAGGACTTTTTTGTTAGGTTAAGCGTGAGTTAACCTAAATTCTAAAACACAAGCTGGGAAGATACAGCCACCGGAATGTGTGCAGACCTTTTTTGCCACAGTACAAACCAATACTTTACAGCTTCCACTTTAAGCTGTGAGACAAACTGAACAGAGCCATTATTGTAACATCTATCCTCCATTAACAGTTTCTAAAGGTTGTAAAGCACAGTGAAATAATCTTTTTTTTTTTTTTTTTTTTTTTTTTCTTGAACTGGTTTGGACATTAACCCCTCTGGTGTTTGTGTTGAATACTCTAATTAGCTGGAAAGTGGGAAAGTTACCTGGAAGGCCAGGACTGGCCAAGCTGTATCTCGTGGTTTTATTTTTTGCTGAATTTTGTGCGTGAGCTGGTAAATTTAAGCTGGGGAGAAGTGCTCCCCTGTGTGTGCCACGGAGCGGGCAGGTCCCCATCAACCAAATCCTTCATTTAAAAGGGGAGAAATGAGGACTGGAGCCTTATTGCCTCCTCTGCATCCCTGTGCCCCAAAACACCCCGGCTCAGGGGACCCTGATACACCAGCCTCCT